CCTCTCCAGCTTTCTTGTAGGCCCCCTTTAATATTTAACCAATATTATACTGTTATTCCTGGAACATTTTACTTCCCCACTTACTGAGGCAGTGGTACAAGACCCACTGTGGTTGACATAGCGTCAGGTGGCGAGTGTCCAGGGCACAGTTTGTTGTGCTCATCTCCCTTCCTTGCTGATGTGGGGGGGGCCTCCACGTTGAGAAGAGCATTAGTTGTCACTCACATTGCTTTTCCTCATCATTCCAGACTTTCTCCATCAGTAGCTGAAGCACAAAAGTCCCCATCATGGATTTTCAGCATCGTCCTGGAGGCAAAACGGGCAGTGGAGGCGTAGCCTCTGCCTCAGAAAGTAACCGAGACCGCAGGGAAAGGCTCCGGCAGTTGGCTTTGGAAACCATCGACATCAACAAGGTGAGCCTTGGAGTGAAGCATCTTGGAGGGTGTGAGATTTAGTGGAGGGTTGTGGATTGGAACGACATATTTCTGTTTCTGGTGATGTGGGACTTGAATGAGAAGCACTTGTGATGGGGCTGATCACAGAGGTGCCAGCGTGTGTCTGTTCAAGCTGCTGCTATTATATTATGTTCAGTCTTCTTAGGACTGGTTGGTATTTTGCTGTTTCCTGCCTGCACTTAGGTATGCTGTCACCAGTTAACAACTGGTTTCTGTTTTCACAGTCCTAAAGCAGTATTGTGCTAATTTAAATCTATGAACCCAGTTCTTCCAGTGCAGGAAAAGTTTGTCAATATTTTGGTTATTCTGTTGTTTTGCCGTGTATTTTGGTTGTAACTTTTGAACAATTCTCTTCTTAGGACCCTTATTTTATGAAAAATCACTTGGGCTCGTATGAATGCAAGCTCTGCCTAACGCTGCACAACAATGAGGTGAGCTGGAAGGTGGCTGGCTGCATCTTGGCAGCAGGGATTTGACAGTAATATAGCTTCAGGTGCAAGAACCTGGGATGTGCCTGATGGCTGAGTGCTGAGGAGATGCTGGGGGGTGGTGGCTTGTGTGTGCCAAGCCTGACAGTTCATGACAGTTCATCAGTTGAGAGCACTCTGTAATTTTGGAGTAAGATTCCTCTCTGCTAAGGATTAAAATACCCTTGTTAACGTGTGATGCTGTCTCTCCTCTGTAACAAGTATCTCTCAGTGTAGGAACAGTCCTGCCTTCATTTACCTTTCTTATACCTTGTTTTTTATTGCAGGGAAGTTACTTAGCCCATACCCAGGGGAAGAAGCATCAGACCAATCTGTAAGTCATTCTCCACTGTAGCTTTGTTCTCCATTACTGAAGCATTTTAAAAGTTAAGTGGTGCACATCTAGAAATCTTCAACTCCATTATACAGTAGCACATTATGCCTGAATGTTCTTTCACTGTGTTTGTTTCCTAGGGAACAGCCTGGCACTAGCCAGGGGGGACAGCCTAGATCTGTTCCAAAGAATGACAAGCTCCATTTTGAGCTCAAGTTCAAAGCCAGTTGTGGGATTTCTGAAGGAAGGGGGAGAAAGAGTTTTAAAAGCAAATTGAGTCTAGTTAGAAGGATACAGTTTTGTGGATACAGGCTGGGAGAAGTTTGTAAGCTTTATTTGAGGAAATCCAGTTTGCATTGGTTTAGATGAGTAGCTTGTGTGGTTTTCTTCTTTTTTGTTTCAAGAAGTAAGTCTTCTCAAATCCAAGGTCAGCTTAGGGGATGATAAGATAAATCAGATGACAGCCTTTAGGCAGGGGAGGGCATGGATACAACTGGCCTGGAGTGGTGCACGTGGAGAGGAATAGCAGGTTTCCCTGGCATGTTTTCTGTGAAGCACTGAATCTTCCATGGGAAGGGATTCCAGCTGCTCCTAGTGCATCCTTTAGGAACAAGTGGGGGTAACCTTTTCAATTTGGCTCATGTCAAATCACCCTGCAGGGCCCGTCGAGCTGCCAAGGAGGCCAAGGAGGCCCCTGCCCAGCCCGCGCCGGAAAAGGTCAAAGTGGAAGTGAAGAAATTTGTGAAAATTGGAAGACCAGGTTATAAAGGTTTGTCAGGGGGGGTCTGTTGTTGGAGGTGCCCAATGTCTGCCTGAGCTGATGAAGTGCAGTGCTGGGGATCTGAATTATTCATTAGTTTTTTGAGCAGATCTGGCTATGAATAAAATACAGGCTTATCTCCCGATGTCTGTTGTTGTTGAAATTGCCAGGGAACACCTCTTAATTGCTGACAGTCGAGTGAGAACCATTTTAATAATAGATTGGTATGTTTCAGTCAGCCCTTAGTAGAAATCATGCAGGAGATAATGATGTTTCAGTCTCTCTTCTCGTTTTACTGTGCTGTACTATCATTCACTAATGCTCATAAATCACTCATTGCATGTATAGCTCAAGTGTTTTCTCTGAACTCCTCATTGTTTTGGTTTGGCCTTCAGTACAAAACTTGGCTTCTTCACCTCCCAGCTTTGTTCTGCAGTGCACAGTGTTTGCCTTACAGCAGCTGAATCTCAGTAGAGAGCCTTAGTAGAATCACAGAATCATTGATGTTGGCGAAGACTGTTAATCTAACATTGCCAGGGCCACCACTAAACCATGACCCTAAGAGCCACATCTACACCTCCAGGGACAGTGACTCCACCACTTCCCTGGGCAGCCTGTTCCAGTGCTTGACAGCCCTTTCAGTGAACAAGTTGTTCCTAAATACTCAGTCTAAACGTCCCCTGGCGCAGCTTGAGGCCATTTCCTCTTGTCCTATCACTTGTTACTTGGGAGAAAAGCCTGACCCCACCTCACTATAACCTCCTTTCATGTAGCTGTAGGGAGTGAGAAGGTCTCACCTGAGCCTCCTTTTTCCAGGATGAACAAACCCAGTTCCCTTGGCAGTCCTCATCACACTCGTGCTCCAGACACTTCAGCTTCGTTGGACCTGCTCCAGCAGCTCAGTGTCTTTTTCTTGTGATGAGAGGCCTAAAACTGAACATATTAGTAACTTTCATTAAAGACAGTGTGGCATTTTGTTTGATAAATGGGAGAAAAATGTTGTAATCTTCTGTTGCTGAAAGCTTTATGTGTTCCTTAGGGCAGAAATAATGTTGCTCTAACCCTGCTTTGTAATGCACTGAGTTTTCTTAACTTTCTTTACAGTGACCAAACAGAGAGATCCAGAAACAGGCCAGCAGAGCCTTCTCTTCCAGGTAAGGGCACTGTTAAATTCTTGGTGTCAGGGTTATCTGAGTAAAAGTGCAGCTGAACAAGCGGTTCTTTGCAAGATTCATAAAATTAATAATAGTTTTAAAAAAGGCCTTATCTGCCTGATCCTCTGCTGCTCATTGTGTCAGGCAAATCCACGTTCTAGCTGTCAGGCTGTTTCCTTTGGTGGCATCTGTTTGGAACTGATCCCTTAATACGCTTCATAGTTGAGGGATTTGTTTTGTACAAAGGCTGGGTGCAAAGGGCATGTTCTCCTGGCCTGGACGTCTCCTTAATGCTGCAACAACACCCCAACAGATTGATTATCCAGAGATTGCAGAAAGTATCATGCCTCGTCACCGCTTCATGTCAGCCTATGAGCAGAGGATTGAGCCCCCTGATAGACGCTGGCAATACCTTTTGATGGCAGCAGAGCCCTATGAGACCATAGCCTTCAAGGTAAGATTTGGGATTAACTGATTGTTGGGGAGGTTCCCTTCTCATCTTTTTCAAGGCATTAATTCCCAGTGACCATTACTGCAGACTTCTGTTCTAGCCTCCGGGGGGTTAATGGAATGGAGAGGGGGGTCAAGAAGACATGACTGGAAGTCATAAAACCCTACTGAGAATTGGTGGAGGACTCTGGCGTGAAAACTAGGCTGTGTGCTGAGCCCTGGGGAGCTGTTGGATTCCCAGTGTCTGGCACAGAAAGGAGCCGACTGGGCTTTGCTCCTCAGACTTTGTGCAGATGTTGAGAGAGGGGTTTTTGCCAACACACTTGTCCTTGACCGATAGGGAAGTAACTTAATTCTTTCCTGCCCCCATCTCTATCTAATAACATCCGAGACTAGCACATCTCACAAAGGCCTGGAATAACAGTGCTTATCTTGCAGGCTCTGGGGCTAAAAAGGGCCATTGAGCTAATCTGGTGGTGCTAATAATAGCTTCTTGTTCTTTTTTGCTGCAGGTGCCAAGCAGAGAAATCGACAAAGCAGAAGGAAAGTTTTGGACTCACTGGAACAGAGAAACCAAACAGGTAGCTGGAGCACTGCAAAAAGGTTGAAGGCAGAGTAGCTTGAGGGGAAAGGCGATGCAGGAAGAGTGTGCATCAGTTACATCTGATCTGGTTTTGATGCTTAAATCTTCAGTCCTTCTAGGCCAGGTTGGATGGGGCTTGGAGCAACCTGGCCTAGTGGAAGGTATCCCTGCCTGTGGCAGGGGGTTGGGTCTGGATGGGCTTTAAGGTCCTTTCCAACCCAAACCATTCTCTTGATTGTATGAATGCAGCTGTGCAGTGACTCCTCCAGACAGAGAAAGGTCTTCCTGTGTGGGATCTTTGTGAGAATTGAACCAGGGAGGCAGATCCTTGGTTGCTGCCAGCAGCAGCAGAAGGGTGCATAAGCATGCAACACTGCAACACTGTGCAACACCGTGCCCGCTGTGTGGCTCCTGGCTGCAGGTCTCTGGTGAGCCTGTGGTGTGGATGTACTCACAGGGGCCAGATGCAGAGTGGGGGATGCTGACCCATCACGGAGAGCTTAGTGCTGAGAACATGTTTCAGAGGCGTAAAGTACTAGACAAGACCAGTGCAA